AAAGAGAGGAATTTAGAAATGTAGTGCGGAATGTAAATTGTGCCTACCTTTAGCGTAATATTCCACAACTTGCTGCAACTTTGCGTGGATACATAATAATCTAATTTTGTGACAATTTTCTACTGAGGCAGTGAATGTCATACGTTCGCCTGGACAGTAGCCACATCGTCTAATATATGCATTTAATTTTAAATATTTAGCTGATTGACAGCCGCCACAAGAAGTTATAGTTTTCTCCTTCTCGATTTCTGGCGATGGCTGCTATAAACGACCAAATTAGCCAAAGTGTTACATCAGAATAATCAATTTAGGCCTAGGATTTATATCAACTACATAGTATTATCAACTTGAGAAAAAGTAATGCAACAAATAGAATTGTACGGGTAGTCCATATTCTAGATTGATTTTCTATATCTTGAAGATCAATACATGACTTTTGTTTTACTGTGATTACGGAATAGAGAATCAATTCAGACAAATATTACTTTAGTAGATACTTACTAATATAATGCATAGAAGAGTGCATGTTACCGTGAAGGATAACATTATACTTGACCTATAATGTAATAGGTAGAGTTTACAGTACAGCCTGGTATACAAAGCTTGGTAGTTGGCTCTATTAATACTTCAATACAAATGGAATAGGGTATTTGGTGATATTGGCTAATGCTAGTTTGCTATAATCTTACCATACGGACGATGAAAATATTTAACACCAAATATTATAGTATTATCAACTTCCTAGGCATTTTTAATACGTTAGCGCATGAGCACGTAAGTAATTGGTTACTTTTTAAACGATAAGTTGCGAAAATTGCCATTGTTTAGTCTTATTTACTGCAATATGATTGAGCTCTGTAACTGTTTTAATTTCCACCAAAGTGCATATACAGCACCTTGTTTATACCGAAATTGACATTTCTAAAAACAATAAGGAATAATGAGCTGAATTTCAATAATATTTAAGATGGCCAATATTGTTAAGAGTTCACACAGGTAACCTTTACGACATGATCTGGAAAATCATGCTATTTTACTTTAGTTTTTCGTAATGCTAATGATGAATGCTATAACATTTGGTACATTTTTAAATTCATCTAACTTTATAGTGGTAGACTAGAAAGTGTTCTCGATCGCTATTTGTTACGGTACGATCTAAGTGCAATAATTATTTAGCTCTTTTACCGTCAATTCTGGCCTATTAATGTCGACCATTTCTAACACTGTGAAAGCTGTTTTAGTTACGTAATCCATTTTCCATGGGCGACATATCCGAGCAAGGATTAGATACCGTATATTGCAACATTTTCCGCCTTCATATGATGACGGTAAATAATGGCAGGGTAAGGGAAAAGCAAAATCCAGTTCATGTCTCCCAGATCCCAATTGCAGATTCTCATTCCGAGCTACAAGCAATAAACTTAAGTTAAAGCCAAGCCATATACTACAGAAATACAATTAATTTTTAGGTATATTTTCTCCTAACAATATTAAAGATTTTCATTCAGAGCTAAAAAATATTCAAATACGATAAAGGCAAGAAATAAATTACGGACTGCTGAGTTTTAATTTCGAATCTATAAATGGGATTTAAAAACTAGGAAGACTAAATATATAATGCATGCAAAAAATCTACGGACCATTATGTTTCTACCTTGTAAAGCTATCAAATTACGAAGGCAAAGATATTTGCAATAATATCATAACACGTAGAATAAAGCTACGTTAAAAGTAACAAGGCAATGCAATCACAAGGCTGCAGTTTCCACAAATTACGTTAAATTACGGTTTCTAATTTAAATATGATTAGATGGACCTAATGGTGAAATCTTATGTTACTATCTATAAATCAGGTATCTCGAGTATTACGTATGCTGCAATCAATTCTGGAATTCGATTTCCATTCTGCAACGGCCGATGAAGGAAATGGGAAATTAATATCAGCATATAACTATCACGGTACGAACTACCGTGAAGAAATAGCCATCTAAATTTGGTTAATATAATATAGTGATATTATATTACAACTAGTTACTTACAATAGGAATTACTCTAATGATAAAATGTGTTACAGTAAATTTAATGCTGAGCTGTAATGTGCTCTGAAATGATTCTGTGAATGGACATATTGTAGTTCGACTGTGAAAAACTAGTTAGTAGATGTTCTCACCTAAGTATTTTTATATGATGACTCATGAATGTTAGCTGCTGTAGAAGGGTATATAAGCCCGTCAGATAGTTGCATAAAGTAGTTCTCAATTCTCTAGTTGAGTTTAACGTAGAAGCAAAGGCGTCTAAATTCTTGTGAGGTAGTTAAGGGATGCTGAATCCCGGAGACTATAGTAATTTAGAGATTTGTTTTACGTTATCCTTGTCACGAAGCTGGTTTGTGACAATAACTCTTATATTTACGTTTATATCTACTAATTATTAATTGGAACTTCAAAATTTAGAATTTTAGATCGAATGAATATTTCATGCTATCCATTAATAAATAATTATGTCAATCAAAAGATTTTTAATAAAATCTATAGTTTTCTTACTTCCGTCCCACAAAACCTTCTTTTCGTCAATGAAACAATCTCGTTGAGTGACAAAATCAGCAAGCCACTGGCTACGATTACTTCCTCGATTACTTAAAGGGACTTTAGTTACCGATCTTCCAGCGATTTCAACCCAAATATATCGGATTTTGACAGCAGAAATTAGATCCATAACCACTATGCCTGTAATGATCTGGCCTGGATAGTAGACACTGGCAGCATTGTTATGAAGTTGAATGCTAAACTCTCTGATCTTACCCATAATTTACTGTTTATCACGTTCTAAAATTTTTCCAGATAAAATTTCAGATAGACAAGATAGGCTTACGCAAGTTTACTCAACTATCATAATCTTACATAGGTACCTGCAGGGCACAGTGAGCGATAAATAATTAGTAACGAAGGTATAGAACGTTAGTAGTCTGCAGAGCTGAAATGAATATTGATAATACTAAAGCCATTGGCAAGGGAATGAAATAATTGTACAACCAATAATTAAATTAGTTTACGATCATTATGTAAGACTTCATTGGTCAGAACCAATTCTATTAGAGAAAAATTTCCACCTTGATCAAATTGTATTACTTATTATTTTAAAGTTAAAAGGTTCTCAGAAAAGGAATTAAAAGGAATGGAATTAGATAATCATTGATACAATTAATTATTTTATGTACTGAACAGAGTCGTGAGTTTAAAAAAAACATATGACTAGATATAAAATTATAGATAAATATATTAATTATGCGAGTCAAAATCATATCAAATCCATATTCGAACATTAGTAAATAGGCCTCGTACTAATTCATAATACACCAAAAACGAAGTAATATTCTACTAAATTTGATTTTAAAGCAATGAATTCCTTGAATTACCTATCGCTACCGGTAGTGCTGAGTAGTGAGATCTTTATGGCCGTCCAGCATTTATTTTCCTTAAAGAGAAAAGTGTTATTCATTTTAAAACCTGAGTTTAGAGCTCAGGCCAAATATCTGCTTGAAATTTTGAGTCTTGCTTTTCCAGCTATAAAGCAAAAGATATTTAGAGTTCCAGCGGAAAGTAATCATAATTAATAATGTGCGGGTGTATTATAAATGTTAAGATCAGTAAGTTCTCATACGCTGAAAACTTTTTTCTTTTCCTGTAATTTACACTAACTGATATAATTCGCATTTTAAGTGATCCAGCAATCTTCCGAAATTCGATTCCCAATTACATAGAAAATAGTCTTTAGAGATCGGCGTTATAATTCTTAAGAAATATCGTAGAACATTATAGTACTATATATTTACATTGATGCGAAAGTTAAATGTTACAAAATCATAATGCGTATGTCTTATTGCGAAATAGATTAGTTAATCGCTTTTTCTTTAATTTAATACCTTACTGCAAAGATATTTATATGCTTTATACTTATTAATGCGATTTATCCTAATATGATACACGGTAGCGATCCTTATGCTTCAATGAAATTTACTATTACGAAAGTAATCTTCGTGGCGTGTACTTTATTTCTACGTTACGTTCTTTATATATTTATATCTCAGAAATATTTGAGGTCTCCTTAACTGTAAGTTTAGTGGTTAACAGTTGACATGTTAGTAATTCTTACTTAAAGATTAGATAGACTAAGCTAGCAATTACCAACTAGTTAAATTGGATTGTATCTATCACTTCCAAGGTTGTTAAGCTTCAAAGTACAATTTCTAAGTTTAGAAGTAATATCTTAGTAGGGATAGCCTACTATGTGTTTGCTAAACTATTATCAAAAATTGATTAATTTAATACTGATACAGTAAATTTAATAGGATTAGACTGTGTCCAATCTGTACAAATAAGTGCTGTTTAGAGTATTAATTTGGTTAGTTTCTCATGGACGAGGTGACTGACCTAGTTAAACCAGTTGTAGGTACCGAAACATATCTAAGCGTCAGCTTCACCGATAATTAATTAGATTATGACTTTCTAGTAAGTTTGAAGGTCTCGCCGTGTTAAAACCTATCTACTTAGGAATAACAATTGACTAGCATTCCAAATAGCGGTAGTATAGGTTAGAAAATACTCTCAACCCTTGTTGCAATTTAGGGCTTACCCTAGCTTGGCTTGCTTAGCTACCTATCCTAGCTTGTAACAATTACAGATTGTAAGAGTTATTTGAATGTGGGAATTAATGCTCACTAGATATGTTGAGAGGCATTAAATATGCTAAGAGACGAACTTATTAACTTCAAACTTAGGCTATAATCTCGAATATCGCAAAATTACCATCAATATCTAGAAAAAATAATAATTTATAAGCCTAAGTTCTTACCATGGCAGTTATATAGGGTTTATACTAAGAAAACCTTGAATACTTTACCATCTAGAATATCGGAATGCGTCCAATTTTATTTACAGATTTTTCGATTTTAATTATTAGTTTAGCTTTATAGTGTAGAGTAACGTAGATAAGGCCTAAAATTGCCAAAAATTTAAGCAGAAGTTTAAAAAACTCTTCTGAACATGAGTAAATAGATATACATGTACAATTCCCGTTAAAAAATCAATCATGATAATAATTATAAAAAAATCAGACTTCTGAAGAAGGATAGCGGGACACAACAACTATTTGTTTGATTTGGAGATAACAATGCTTATATACACATTATGGTAAATTGAAATATTGAAACTATCAGTCTAAAATTATTATTTCGATTTGTATCTCAACTCTGGTAGCAAAACGTTTCGAATGGTTTAGTCTATGCCGAATAAAAGAATGATCCGTAAATATTAAACAATACTGCTAAGCGATATTATACAAATGCAAAAATGTTGTCTTTAACTAAGAGTTTGACAAGTCTCGTACTGTATTTCGGTCCTAAACTTACTATCAATTAAATACAGCTAGTTATTATACTGTAATGATCAGCTTTCATTGTGATATTATTTCATTAGATGGTCTTTATAACTAGTATAACTCTCTGTTAAAGATGATAAATTGCTACTAATAGTACATCTTTCTAAATCATTTGGAGCTTGATCTCTTGTAACAGCCCCAGGTAGAGTTAATTCATAAAGCGATGAATCCAGAAATGACACTGAATTCTTATGTGATGGAAGGGGGTTAATATCAGGTCGATCGCCAATAGTTATTGGAAATTCAACTGACAGTGTCGTATTTTTATTTAGAAATGCTTGAATCTAAATGAAGTTAAGGAAGAAAGAAATATTTTGAAGTTATTAATTGTTCAAGATCAATTTTTCTACAAAGATTTAAGCTACTCAAGAAGTTGCAATACCTGGCTAGCGTACTGACTAAAACTACCTGACTCATTATTTAATATGAATATTATATATTCAACAAGTTTTAATCGTAAATTATCCATTTCGTTCTACCTAGATCTAAACTCCTCAAGAAATTACAATAGTTAGGTAGCGCGCTGGCTGGTGCTATCTGATTCCCTTAATTAATATCTATAGTTCGTATTTGGCCAGTTTTATTCATTAATTGTGTATAATTATTAATTCAATTGGCATTATATAAGGATATACTAACGCAATTATACGAATTTATCGAAATAATTTAGGGTCGTTTATTATCGTCATGTAGGATTATATAAGATTGAGACTTCTTCGTGAGGATTTTATAATAATGTTGGATAATTATATCAAAATATTTAGATAAAACTGTAAGCTTCATATCTTACCTCTAATACGTAACCAATAGATATAAGGTCAAATTTAGCAATTGTAGGTTGCAATTTTGTAATAACCAGAGATTCGTTAGTCCATGTAATTGTTTGGCCTGGCATTAATGTTCGAAACAGCTGTTTTATCAAGCAAACGTCAGTTGACACATTTTCAACTCCTAAGTAATGTAAAACATATTTTAAATGAGATAATAGCAACTATAAATTATCCATGCATAGTCCGTGTTGTTAAAAGAATTATAGTTAACGATAGCAAATACTTCAAAAATTCCTATACCTTTAGCTTTATGGGTTATATTTCGTATTAATCGGACTGCCACGCCAGTGATTTCTTGCTTCGTATTATTTTCCAATTCAATCATTTGAATATTAATAGCTTCCCCAATATAGCATGCTAAATATTCTAAACTAGCCGTTAATTTAGCTGTGCCGGAGCAACATAGAAAATAGGGTATCTGTTTTTCTGATACCAACGGAATAGGACGCTCCTAACAGTAAGTAATACGGTAAATTAGTTTCATATATACTAGAATGTCATTGAAGTAGCATGCTGAGTTATGAAAGCTAGATTGTTTATCAAGTAAACTTACAAAAGTTGAACGATTAATGCTTATATCCTCAACAACATGAAAAGGTTTATTGGCAAGATCTTCAAATTTCCATCCTTGATCAACTGATATAATGACCATGTAGCGAATGTTATGATTGCTATCGCCTTGATACGAGTTCGGTAAATTATTCATTGGCAATTGATAACTAAATGAAAAGGTATGCCTTCCAGCTAGTAAACTTGCACTGCATAATTTTTTGTCTCCTATAGGAATAAGAATTAATTAAGCATTTTAGAGTTATTTAAGAGTGCAGTTACAGCATAAATTACGTTAATAGGTACTCAAAATTAAGGTTAACTTCGTGATAACAGACATAACAATTAAAAATGAGAAAACAAACTTTGTAATTTCGCAAAGTTAAAATTCTAATGATAACTTTGGTGTATGAAAAATATATTGCTAATGGTAACTTATACAAATACAGCCACCGTATTTACCTGAGACCATTAGAAAAATTAAAATTTACTGGAAAATGATTATATTGACGTACCTATTCTATAGTTTATATCATAGAGTTAATAGAATGGCAGGATTGTAATAAAATCATATATATCTTACGATATCGTTCAATTAAATCCAATCTTTAGAGTAGCAAATTGTATATTTGTGCTCTATTAAATAAAGTGTGATCGAATTTGAAGACATTTATCTGATCTATTTGTAATCATCATAACTATAAACATTATAGAAGTGGTAATCCTGATTACTGGGATTTTATAAACAAATTATTACTAAACCTAGAAATTGTGAATATAGTGTCGAGTTGGGAATATACGATATTCTACAGAGGACCAAAGGCAAAATTTATGGCAATTTAAGGTGATATAAAATTATAGTGTGCGATTCTTTAACTAATAAAAATAAGTCCATTAATTTGTAAAAAGATTTTAATTGTATATGGTATTATTGTATAGCATTTAATCATAATTAAATATCTCAAGCGCAAATTGCTTTCAGGGTGCTCTATTATGGCACGCAAGGTATAGTAAAGATTTTGAATGCTTATTTGAAAAACTGGATTCTGCCAATAATTCAAATGAGTTAGTAGATATTACAATCAATGCAGTAAACAATGAAAATTTACTATTTTGTATGTGAATGCCTGAAATCGATCAACATTGTCGATTAATTTGATGTCTGTCATATTGAATAGATAAATACTAGATCATGTTTTAAATCCTAGCAGTAAATTTAGTATAATTATTTTACAATTGGTATTTCTAGCGGAATATAGTATATTTGAAGTTTGTATGTTTTAAATGCCGTTATCGACTCTTGATCTTAATACAAAAAACCGGAGAAGAGATACCTAGCTAACCGATATTTTTATATAACTTTGAAGGTATAATGACAAATTCCTTCTATAGATGTACAATATAACATGCAGCCTTTGATTTGATAATGGTAGTGCGATAAACCATAGAACATTCATACTTATCACAATAAGGCGTGAGATACCGCCGAACTAGGATTAATTTATTACGACATAGTTGGTTGATATAAATATATAAAACAGATCTAAATTGTAGTAAGTGGCAACTTTAGCTCACTGTTACAGTGTTAAATACTGTATTACAGTAGAAATAACTTTGTTAGGATAATTCTGTTAGACTATCCTTATTTAGTTAACTTCTAATTTGGATATACTGTATTTTAATATAGCACTGACTTTTTATGACAGTGACACTTATACACATACTGAAATTATAATAGTTATAATAGGGAATGCAAATCATCTGCTTACAGTTCGAATCATTGTGATTGTAATTTACTTATGATAGACTGTAAATTATCATGGAAATGTTCCGTGATAGGACATATCGTAATCTGACTATTCTGTATTAGTTATTACATGTCTATGTTCGTAAATACTGTTGTCTGCATTAAGAGAGCAGTAGCTAAAATTAATATCTAATTCAGTAAATGATTCTAATGTTAATTGTATTAACTATGACTCATGAACTATTGAGGAATAGTATATAAATGCAGTATATCGTGAAATAAAGAAGAATTGTCCAACTTAGTGTTTAACGTAAAATACGAGGCGTTTAAGTCTTTGTGTAGTCTGCTAGTAGAGCAAAAGTGCTCGTGATAGTGCAGATATCGTTCCTTGATACGTAGTTCAAGGAATTGACTTATTGATCGTAGATTACGTTATCTTGTTGCAAAGCTGTTTTGTGACACTCACACTTTCATAAGATAAAGTATTTCTGAGCCTTGAATTAAACTAAAAATTTGAATACTTTCCTAGTTTTCATTTATGTTGTACTAGCCCATCTCCGGTAGGAAATCCCTTTTCATGGCAGAACACTTTAAATATCGCAGCGCTTTTGTGCTCAATGAAGAATAGAGATTATTTTTCTATATTCAAGTTTAGATATAATAATTATTCATGAAAGTTTAAATTTCATTCTAGATAAATTTACTGGATCGAAATGCCAGCGTAGCAATCCCAATTTTGGTAATGGTATAGCAATTCCAAGATAAAGCTCAGTGATTAAGAAAAATAAATTACATAGTTTTGCAGCCATCTGCTCCTAGTCTAATAATAGCAGTTTAATTGTAGTGTGCTATGCATTTTAATGCATTATTGCAAATTTTGACCAGACAGTGGCGAAGTAAACAAAACCTTGTATGAAAATTCAATTATTGCAAAGGCCTTCAAATTTGAATAAAGTAATGTTATCAGATACTATTGTTGCAAAACGATGTAAGTATTCACTATATTGAGATGGCGAATGGTTTTCGAAGGTAATATAGAAATTTGAATTTAATAACATTGTGAAGCATTAATTGAAAATTACTCATTTCTGTAATTAATCAATTTCCTTTTATGTAGAGATCTTTAAAAGATACAATTAATCGCTGATGACTTAAAAGCAAAAAGCTTTTCTCATAGGTAATTGCATAAAACAGCTGTAGTTTTTTAAATGAGCATATATCACATATTTTGATAAAATATGTAATTTTACTGTGAAGCTTTCTATTAAAAAAATTTAATTAAAATTTGCAAAGTCGGTGTTGAAAAATAATCTAATTTTATTAAACCACGTAACATTAGTTGTTGTGATACGAAAATAGATCTCTAATATAAATAGAAGTGAATGAGATTTATTTAAGGATGAAATATTGCTACTATAAAGTATTCGTTCGAAGGAAATTCTTAATCATTTTGAAATATGATCTAGGTGTTATTATAACGGTAAAAGTTCACAATTCTAATTTTTCCTGTAATTTATCGTGTGATAATACGGCGATGATAAATAATTAATTAATTGTTGAATTTTTATTTGATAGGAATAGTCTTTAATGTTAAAGATTTACCAAGATGACTTAATTTTGGATGATTACTGTCATAAATAATTGACTACGTCTTAAGTTGATCGATTTCTAAAACAAATAATGACCTACCATGAGCAGTGCTCGTAGAAATTAAGCTAATTAATCAGATTGGAGCTTAACTATTGACGACAGATATGAGTGAATGACTACCGGGGGTAAAACTTTTATACGAATGACAATCCAGCTTCGATGTGTACAATATACTATACAGAAATTACTGCTATCATGTTAGATACGTCTATGATTTCATACTGTTAATATTTTAATCGCTAAGCTTATTAAGATTAAATGCAGTAATATGCTCGTATAGAAAATAAATTAAGATAATTACATCGAAAGCAATAGTCGCTTCATTATTTGCTATTGTGGCAAGATAAAAATGAATGCAATCTTACAAACTACGACTGATATAAATCCCAAAGAATTCATTATGATAGCGATAGACTTCCTACCCTAACCAAAGCAGAATGTTATTATTTTAAATTTTTAATATGTAGAAATAACTCTTCTTTTATTGACTAACTTGGCTCATGGCAATCTAGTACCATTAATGGAAGTTAAACAAATTATTGTAAATCTAATATCATACTAAAGAATTGAAATTGATGCAGAATTAAATTAAATAGTTTACGATTATGGTTACATATCTCAAGAGAAGTTTTGTTCTCAACAAAGTGCAATATCTATAACTTACAACTAAATAGTGATCGAAAGTATGAATTAAGACTTTGTTATCTTAGGCTGATATTTTCTCGATATCAAATTAATACTTCATTATTCTAGATTAAATTCCTCTCTAGCTATGCTCTATGATAATTATTTGTTCGATTTATTCTGTATCAATGCGTACTGTTCACTATATGCTCATAGGTTTGCAGACTAATTTATGCTTATATTCCTTTGAAAAGTAATTGCAATTTCAACGGTAGTTTAAAACTTGCTGATAGTTCAATAGAAACGCTTTAATTATTTAAATAAGTGCCAAAAATTATTTATAATTCCTGCATGGCTAATTTCAAACGTATGCTTGATTATATTATCTGATACTAAAAACTTTTGAAAGCATAACGTTGCCTATTGGCCGCAAGAAAATAATAAAGACGATAGCAACTTGATCTGTAAAAAGAAACTTTGATAAATTATTGGGTATCAAATGTAGTCAATATATAGCAACTAAAGGTTACTGTTATAGAATGAAAAGTTATAAATGTAAATGGTATAGGATTAAGCGTATAATCAACTATAAAAATGTTTCAATTCATTAATTGTTTCTATATTTTGTACTTAATTACCATAGAAAATTAACTGCTATTTAACGTTATAAAAAAGGCTAAATAAAATGCGAATGTATATATAGTTTGATCCGATTTTCTATATATATAATGAAATGTCTAAATATTGTCTACACTAGCATGAAAATTAGGAAATAGAATTTAAGATGCAAGTGTGACCATGTCACGTAGTATTTACGCGATATCTAAAAGAAGTAACTGTTGTTATTCTTTTTACAAAGATTTAAAATCAAATAACCTTGACGGAGACAGCCAGACTTTGTTAATAACAGGTCATCATTGTTAGTACATTTAAATTTGCAAGTTATCATCAGCGGCATAAAAAGCTAAATAAGTTAAAACTTGACTTGTTTATACGTAATCTTCACTTAAACATGATTAGAGCGATATCAAATGATAAAAGGAGTGGGCTTTACATCAAAACGCTAATATTAAGAGTTAAGGTTACTTTGCTCTAAATCTCATTATAAATTGTAAAAGTGTAGCGATTTATTTAAGATTCTTGGGTAATCTTCATAACTGCCCTATATTACCATAAAATAGATTTCTTTATGTTCAAGACTACGGGTATTTCTGAAAACAGTTTTGTTGACAAAATCGATTTTAAAATCGCGCACAAAGATCAATTATCTCTTACTATTCCCTATTTCTTACTTCATCTATTTTATCGATTGCTATTTGCCCTTAACATAGATAATGATACTATTAAAGATAATGACATAGTTTTGATTTAGTAAAATTCTTTCTCTAATGGTGGTAGTCAAAAATATCCATTTATATTAAGTATAATGGCTATAGTTCTGTTAGCGGATT